CCTGCTGGCTCTAGGCAAGGGCTGATTGGGCCAGCCTAAACACTCCTTGTCCCTGCTGGTAGGTTTTAGACCTCAGCAACAGTTGAACAGGCAAATTTATCAGTGAATCTGTCCCACTCAGTGATAGGCTTCCCTGGGGTCTTGGGGAGCTAAGGAGTAGCTCCTGATAGCCACTCTAATTAAAGCCCCCGCCCCCCCCCACACACTTGGACCACATTTAAAGATACCACAAGCACTCTGACCGGATGTGTAATACCTAGAACCAAGACTCCAGTTGTGCTTTAAGTGTTTGACTATCTTTACACTGACCATGGGAAGGAAGTATTGGTCTCACTTCTCACATGCAGAGCACTGAGGCACAGTGACTGGTCCTGCAGTTACTTTCAGAGTCAAGAACAGAACCTGGGAGTTCTAACTTTTCATCTCCTCTTCCAATCACAGCATATGCTGCTCCCTGCCTTTAGTATCCTTGACTTACTAGTCAGTCCTTTCCCTTGGTTACAAGTGTGCCTTATATGAGAGGGCTGATTCTGATCATGTCTAGTCCATGTTGCAGTTAAGCACTTATACCCAGCAAGTAACTAAACAGTAGTAGCATTAGTCTAGGAATCATTTTGTCCTAATTATTTATCAAAACAGGTTCTTTCCTGGCTATTCAAGGAATGGCTTCACTAGGAGGCTCCAAGGAAGATGGAATGAAAATTATGTCTTTGCTGTCCCCTCTATGCAGATAGTGAATTACCCAAAGACCAGACAAATTACCCTTTAACTCTTCCCGTTTTCCAGTTGGTTAACCCTTGAGTTCAGTACTCTCCATATGAGCTATGGTGAGAGCTGCAGCAGTCTGACTCTTGCCTGACTCTTCTGGGTTGTATGTCACCTGGATGATTGCCCTCAGTTTTCTACATGGCTCTGCCTTCCAAACTCTTTATTCCCCTGAGTTGATGGCAGCAGGCAGAAAAGCACTTCAAAAAATTAGGCCACTTCTACAGGCACCTGATTATGGGCTTGGTTGAACACTGCTAAGCGGCTAGAGTTAATTTCTTCCTTAGCTAGCTCTAAATCTATAGTAGACTTTTGTTACTGAAGTCAGACCTTCTTCATTTGGGAGCCCAATTCTAAATGGAAAGGCTTTCCAACAGACTTATTTAAATGGCTGTTAAATGAATGTCAAGATTTATGGTTGAATGCTTCTCAGAACCAGGGCAGCCCTTGGAATTGGCTAGGCTGGAGCTGGTTATCTTGCAACAAGGTTTCTCTTGGAAGAGCCTGGTATTTTTGGTTCCCTGTGGGCTGGGAATTGGAGGAAATTTAGATGGTGAAGGGATGAATTGGTGAGGGGAGAGGATTCTTTTTCAGAAACCTTAAGAGGGTAAAGGCTGGAAATAGAGAGCTGTACTTATTCCTTTCTGAAATGAGTTAATCCATCCCGAACTGAAACATGTGGGGGTTTTATTTATTTATGTATTTCCTTAGGCAGAACAAACGTGTTTGGCACTTACCAGGATGCTCTAATGATTTTTTGTTCCTTCTTTTTCCATCCTCTCCCCAGTGCTGAATGCTTTCAAGTATCCACTGTTGATAGGCACTGGTCTAGCCACCCTCATCGGACTCTTATCCTGCCTTATTGGCTACTGCAGTTCCCATTGGTGTTGCAAGAAGGAAGTTCAGGAAACCAGGCGGGAGCGACGCCGGCTGATGTCTATGGAGATGGACTGAGCAAGGGAATGAGATGCATGCACGTTTTGGGAGAGATTCAGAGGGATTGTCCAGAGGCTGCTTTTAAACTGAAAGTGTTTAACACTTAAATGTCCCTCGGATGGTGTTTTTTCTCTCTGATCTCACCCAGGATCTAGTGCTTCTCCTCTCTACATGCTAAGTACTGAGAGCACAGGCCATATTTATCAACACAGAGCTCTCCTCTTCCTGTGGCACTTTCTGTGGGGATACATCCTGCACTCAGACTGTCCAGCCTTCTTTCATCAGGACCTTTTAGACAAGAATTGCATTTAAATCTTTTTATCTCATTTTTAAGATATCTCTGGTGTGATCACGTGATTGGGAGGAGGGATTTGCCATGGAGCAGGCAGAGGTTGGAAAAAGCATTTGCCTTTTATACAATCTGCTGACCTTCTCCAGCACCCCAGCCCCACCCTGCCCCAGTGACTCATTCAGATCTCTAGTGTTGGGAGGAAACTGCAGTCTGGGTTGCTCTGGACTTGTCACAATAAGGTGCTGTTGTCAAGGGCTGGTTTGTAATTATCACTGTACCCTCCTTCCCCTATTTTCAGGGGCTTTGCTATTAACTCCAGAAGAGAGTGTATGCAGAGGTCTCCTGAGATGGGTTTTATTAATTTTTTTTCTTTTTACCAAGTTCTTTAAGAAAACATGAAATCCTTCTTGATCTCGATTCTGGTGACAGATGTTGGCTCACAACCCCCCAGGACTGAATAAGAATTTCATGCTGTCCCTTACAATCCCTCTCTGTGTGCCTGAACACTGCCCCATAAGGCTACTGCTTGTATTAAGAAGGAAATTCAGTTTTCACGGCCTGCTCAGTTTTGCCTCTGTGCACAGACTGCCAGTAAAGCATCAGCTAATGGTGATGGCATGTGATGTGAGTGCAATCCCTCTCCTTAAAGAGTTAAATGGCCTTCACCAAATCTTTTAAAGATAGCTAGCCAGCCGACCTTTGGCTGGAAATGGCTTGGAAGCCAGCTATTGCCAGTGCAATGTACTGTGTAATGTACTGGCAGTAGGTTCTATAGTAATTTTCACTTTATTTCCTTGCAGTTGCCTAAGCAAATCACTACAACCCTTGAATTTTGGCAGCAGAGAGGGCATGATCTATAGGATCTGAGTTGCAACTCAGGACAGGAACAGAAATAGCCCAAGATGAATAAGAGGTCCACAGGTTTTGATGATATTTTTGTAAAATGCAGTGATCTCTACCTGTCAGCAGCCCCTTGTCCATTGTGATGCCCAGCACTAGAGATCTCCTGGTGGGGTTTATGAGGTGTACTCCTAGGTGCTATAGTAGAGAAGCCCAGCTCCAGTCTTCCACATTCCCCTGGAATGGCTCTGAAGAAGGTGCTCCCTGTTGTCTAGGCAGCTCTGTGTTCCAGCCTGGCTGGTGTTTTTAAGCAATAAGAGTTAGACTATAGACATTGTGTACACAACCAAATTTACTGATACCACACCCAGAGTTTTCGGCTTAAATAAGCAATGAGGAAGATTCAGAGTTGAGGCCTGTGCTTCATCCATCTCCACTTTGTTTAGGAATAAAGGGCAAATGGTAGGAGAGGCCATCTCCAAAAGGTCAAGACACCATCATATTGTTAACAGTCTAGGCTTTACATGGTTAGTCTTATCTGTAATTACTTATCCACCTTGGTGTACTCTCCATAGGTGCTGCAGGATCTAACTTCCTAACAGAACTATATTTCTCATCCCTGCTCATAGGCTCTAATGAAGCAGTGACTACAAATAACTTTTGGGGTGCATTTTCTCTTTCTTACATTCAATTACCTATGTCCTGACTTGTTCTGAAGCTGCCATAAAACTTTTCTCCAGGAGATGTAGGCTAAGATTTCCACATGGAATGAGCTATTTGGGGTCTGAGACTCCCCCCAAAAAAGTTGTTTTTTTTCCCCCAGAGAGTGTATGCTAAGCACTTATTTTTCCTTTAAGTGTGTGCATTTTAATTGGAACCTCTTTAATGTTTCATTTGGGCACCCCAAAATTGGCACCCAAAATTACTAGTTGCACTTGAGATATCTTGGTCGGAATCTTCACAGCAGCCTTCCTTAATACCAGTCTTTTCCTGCAGAAGAGCCTTGAGGGTTTTTTTTTTTTATCACCTTCCTGAAGCTGCAGGCAGGCAGAGGCTGTCCAGCAAGGAACATGCAGCAGCCATAGACGCTTCCCTGTTTTATAAAACAGGAAACAGTATTTACTCCACTTTCCAAAGAAGAAAAGTAGTGAAGCTGATTCATTAGAGCAGGGGATGCTGCTCTTCTCGAACCAGCACAGGATGTTTGTCATCTTCTTCTACTCTGCCAACCACAGAGGCAGCCCACTTTTCTCTGGTCATGCAGGATGTTGTGTCTTCTCTTCAGATTACTTTTGTCCTTCCCGCACGCAGAGCAGCAACTCTGCTTGTTTTCTTTCCTGCTTTAATGTTGGCTTTCCTCATAACATAGCAGTATTTTTTTTAAAGAAAAAAATAAAGTTTCAAGCGTGTCTTTTGTTGGGAAGGAAAAAGAGTTACTCAAAGCACAAGTCACTCGCTCTCCTGGCAGGTTTAGCCCTTGTCTTTGTTGCTTTTTGGTTATGTTGTGGAAGAAGGGAACCGTGACTGTAATGTGGTGATTGTGGAATGAGCGAGCAGGGAGTGGCCAGCAGCTCCTTAGCACACACCATGCTCTGGCGTGAAGACAAAAATCTCAGGGTTATTTTGGCTTGGGGCTCTTTGCCCATCAGTCAAGGGTTCCTGTGTCTTATCTAATGTTGACTTCCCTTTAGAGACCATAATAAAACACCTTCTTCCCACACAAAATAAAATGAGCTAGTCCCTAAGCTACACAGCTGCTAGCTCTTTGGAAGGTGATGCTGCATCCTCTTAAATCCTGGTCTTGGTGTGTTTTGAAGGCTGAAATCCTGGGTATAGAAGTTTCTCAGCAAGTCTCCTTCAAGCTGTGCCAATTTTATATTAACTATTTTTTATATAATGGTAATCTGTCTCCAGCTATAAAAAAAAATAAGGTGTGTCAGTCACTCCTTCCTATGGTTTTTTTTTTTTTTTTTTTTTTTTTTTTTTTTTTTTTTTTTTTTTTTTTTTTTTTACCACTTGCATGTGTTTGAAGACAGGTGGGTACCAGGAGAATGTCACATAAGGCACAGTGTGAGGTTCAGTACCATCCATGCTGCAACCCTTGGTATTGACCGCCAATAGCCAAGTATCCAAAGGGCTCCTTTCAATCTTACTCTGTTCGCGTTGCCACACATTTCCTACTTGGTTACAGCTGGGAAATTCCTCTGAACACTTGGCATTTGAACTGGGAATAGCTTGAAAGTGACTTAATGAAAGGACAGGATTTTGAAGTTAAGGGAAAAAATGGTGTTTTGGCACAATTCTGGAATGCAGGAATTGAATAGTTCTAATGATGCTGTGTAATGTTTCTTTTTATGTTAAAATAAAGAGCGAGTCTTTTCATTAAATCACTCTGTAATCAGAATGTTTGCCCTACAGGTAGTTCTCCTTGATACGTTCATGAACAAGGATGTCAGGGTTAAGCCTTGGACCCTGTTTCTACAGCTCCCTCAGTGAAGTAGCCATTACCCTGTTTTGCACAAATTTCAGTGGTTTGCTTAAGACCACAGAGTGAATCAGCAAATGGGCAAGGTCAACACAGGGAGCCTTGGCTTTGCTTCCTGTCTGTACCCACTCTCTACACTCCTATCTCAGGCAACAGTTTGCTTTTCTTCTTTTCCACTGAAGGATTGTTGTGAGTGAATGCCTGCTGTATCCTCTAAAACCAAGGCAAGGCCTACTGGCTGGTGCTCCTGACTTCCCCTAAGGTGTTTTCTTCCTGAGCTGTCAGAAAAAGCAGCTGTGGTTATAGCTAAAAATCTTTTTTCATACTCTTCTTGCTAATGTATCAGCCTGGGATTTTATTTCTTCTGCTACAAATGGTAAGGCTGCCGAAACCTATGGCAGTAGGAAGAACATCCCTCACTGCTGTGCTGTAACACTTGTACTTTTCTCTATAGGTATTTGCATCTGATGAGGCAGAAGAAGCATTTTCAGGCTCTGGACTCTGCTATGGCAATGTAAAAGCCATAGAATCGGGAGACCTCCAGGGTCATTTTAATCCAAACATCTGCATAGATGCAGGTTACCCTATCCCTAAGCCAACCTAGACAGATTCCTATCCAGCCTCTTTTTGAAAACTTCTGCTGGAGGAGATTCTACAACTTTGAGACCAGTCTTTCATGTCACTAGCCCCCTTCAGCTTGACTAATACTATAGCTGCTTCCCTGTGGTAGGCAATGCCGCTATGTGATGGCTCACACTGAAGTTCTCTGTTCCCTTGATTCCACATGCTTGAGTCCTAGATCTAGTCCCCTAAGAAAAGGCTGTGACAAAATCCATATGTGTTCATGGTGGAATCTGGGAGGTAGCATAGGTCAGAGATCTTTGGGAGGGGACTTTTGTTTGAAATAATTTTATTGTACCTTGTACAATGGAGCTCCAGCCCCTGTTGTCCTTGAGTGCTGTCAGAATGCAAATAAGTGAGATATCTGAGGGAGTGGGTGGTGGTGCAGCAACATTTGCTCTGTGGCACTGCTGTGCTGGCAACATACCTACTTGGTATGGGTTTTCCCCATGAACTTGTCTTACCCCAGCATTATTTTGCTATGTGGCCATTTCTTGTGTAACAGCAAATTAAGACCCAATAATCATGACAGTGTTTCCTTACTCTTCCGGATTTTGGGCTGCACTACAAGCTTTACTGCATGAAAGGTATGCGTACCTCATCATGTAAATGACTTTGGTCAGTGCAGGCCAGGATAAGCTCTGTATAAGATATCAATCAGTTGATTAGGCCCTCCTGGAATCTTCTCCATAGATATCGGATTGGCTGGAGTGACCAGTGCAACCTGAGAGAGATTTCCGTTACAAAGCCTGAATACAAAGCTGCTTCTGCAGCCCCAGGTTGAAACACACCTGTGTCACCCCCATTCCTTTAGTGAAGCAGGAAGCCATACTCTACACTCCAGGGTCAAATCATGGTTAAATGATATAGTGTACAGTTTCGCTTCACCTAGACTAACTGAAAAAAGGTTCAGCCTTGTTGACTAACTGAGAAATTTGTTCAGACAGCGAAATGCCATAGGCTAGCCCAGCCTGTACCTAACTTATCACAATGTATCACCTATATCCTGTGATAAAGGCCTTGAACAGGCTGGAGGAATGTAATGCATGGGAAAGATTAGGTTGCCCCAGTCTCCATCTCTTGCTTTGAATCATGGCTCAGGGCTGGAGCTCAATCTTGCAACTCATTTGTGGGAGCAGCTTTCATTTACATAAATGACTTGCCTCCTAGCTTCATACGGGCTCAGCCCTACGGCATGTTTATAACCTGTGCTAGTATTCCAAGAGCAAGCCTTTTCATGGCTCCAGAGCTGACCTTTAAATCTGAGGATAAAAATGATGCTCAATTCATGGCTTGTCAGGTAAAGAGGAGCTGGAGCACTTGGGAAAGGGGAAAAAGTGAAGGTGAGATCATGGTTTAGGCCAGCAATGACTAACCACTTTGACAAACATGCTACAAATTAAGTATAAAATATGAAAGTCTCTAATCAGCCATTGCCTACTACTATTGTATCTCATTGCCCCTGGGATATGGCAACACTGAATTTGATAGTATCCACACCTGCTGCACTTGGGGCCAAACCCTTCAGCCTGCATAGATTCCTGAATCCTGCCCCTCCCCAACTGTTTCTCTGATCCCCTTCCCCTCTCTTGAGTACTGCCATGACTCCTAGTGCTAATGCCTCCTTTAAATCAGCACCCAGGGCTTGCATGCTAAATGCACCAGCTGCTTGTGCAACTTGGGCTAGAGACAGACATTCAAAAAGCCTAAGCCTGAATTGATTCAATCTTAGTCTAACCTACAAAGCTTGAACCGGTTTGGAGGTGGATAGACATCCCCTTTTCATTCTAGGAATGCAGGCACATGCCTGCAGTGGCTTAGGCTAGAAGCCGGCGGGCACTAGAACAGCCCTCCCTTCCCTTCCACAAGGCTGAGCTAAGGGGGGGCATGGCCCGGCCCCACCAGGATGCTCTGATTAAGGAGCATCCCCGCAACCCAGCAAGGAGTTGATAACAGTGTTTATCACCCCTAACTCAGTGTTTATCACCCATCAACAAAACAAAAGGATCTCTCATTAGTTCAAGCTCTTCTTAAACAGCTTTTCCAAGGAAGGAATGGAAGGACATTACCAGCTACCTGTTGATTAGCTCCAAAAAGCCCTAACCCGATACTGCTGTCTGCCTTTGTCCTGTCTCCCACAGCACAGACGGTAGCCAGCATGTGGTATGCTAGCTAATGCTGAGAGGTGTCTATGTAAGGCAGCGGGGGGTGGGGGGGAATCCCTGCTTAAGGGATCCCTGCCTCTCTTTGCTGCTCCCTTGCTGCAGCTCTGGCAGAGACTGCACATACAGAAGGGTCTGCCTGGCTTCCTCCTGCTCCCCTCTCCCCCTCACCACTCCCTGCGGGAGGAAGCCAGGCAGACCCTTCTGTATGTGTAGTCTCTGCCAGAGCTGCAGCCAGGGAGCAGCAAAGAGGGGCCAGCTCAGCTCTCTGGAGCAGAGAGCCCTGCCAAGCCCAGAGAGCATGCTAGGATGCTGGGGGAGTCTGATTTAACTTAAACCAGGAAAGGGTCTGGGACAGACATTGCATAAACCAGTTTGACCCAAATCAGTTAAGTCTGATACTACATTCAACCAGGTTTACCTCAAACCGGTTTCAGCCATTTTCAAACTGGTTTATGTTCACTGAACATCTGTTCTGCTACAGGTTTAAACCAGTTTCTGATCACTTAAATTGGCTTACGTGTACCCTGGCCTGTGTGTATGTATCTTTAATAGTTCAAGTGTTTTGGAATCCTTTAGATGGCAGATCCTCAAAAAATGTAAGGTAGCTATTGCCAGCTGATAATATTGTGACTTATCATTTGTTAAGTTCCTTTTAAAGTCTCTCCTCATTCTACAGCCATTTCTGACAATGGGAATAACAAGGAAGAGAGTGCTTCGTGATAGAGACATGCATACAGTATACCTTTTAAAAAATAAAAAAGGTCTGACTATGCTGATCCATCCACACCTCAAGGTTAATCTAAAATATTTGAGGCCTTTGGTTTCAAGAGGAGTTGTAAATGGAGAAAAGAAGGCTTTGGGAAGTTGTAGTAAGCCAGAGTGTGCCACTCCAGGCATTGAGATGGAGCTTTTATAGACTTGCTCCTGCCTTTCAACAAGGAGTATTAACAGAGAGAGGCAAACCTGTTTCTGCTTGGAGTAGAGTTGCATGGATGGAACAAAGACCCTGCTTCTGGGTGAACTGTAGATGTAACATTGATGAAAGTGATGAGTTCATAGCACAGGACAGAGTCAAGCACAGAAGTAGATTCAGAAGCTAAGCAAACTATGGAGCTGTGCTAGCTTCCCTAGCTCCTGAATTGATATGTCTCTCCCCAATCTCATCCTAAATGTTAAGCTCTGACCCTTTTGCCTTGGCATGCTGCATCCATTAATGATCCGACTGTCTGTGCACAGTACCTGGATTCACTGTGCTGGACATACAGCTATCTGCAGCTCCTTTCTCATTGCAATTCTGCCGCTCCAGAGGTCTCTTCCTGAGATGCCATTCTTGCTGTTCTAAACCTGCTCTGTGTCCTGAAAGTGGGGCCTCCAGTCTGATGGAAGTACTTTGGCCAGGTGCTGTAAGGGAAGTGCCCTGTTCCCACCTGCTTTCTGGGGTGGTGGGCATCCACCTCCAATACTTTTTGCTATTTTAAATCAATATTTTGAAGGTAAGTAAGTCCCTGGTCTGTAATCACAGTCACTGGTACATTTGGGGCAAAGGCTTTTTGGCTGCTGGTGTTATCACTTTTTGCAGTTGGTCAGACTTAACAATTGGCGGCAGCAACGGCTGCTTAATTCTCTTTTAAATGTTTCCAGTGCAGCCACTTAATTAAGTTGGGGGGGGGGGGGGGGGGGGGGGGGGAAGGAGGAATAAACCCTC